CAACCATCTCTCAGTTCTGAAAAGCCATCTGAACATCTCAGCTGTGAAACTCTTCCCATCACTGCCTGACACTCCAACAACTGGAAGCACACCCAGCCCTGCAGCCAGTGAGAGCATCCTCCTGTGATCCCAGGGGAAGCTCCTGGGATCTGGCATTGGGATGGTCCCAGAGCCAGTGTGAGCATCCTCCTGTGATCCCAGGGGAAGCTCCTGGGCTCTGGCACTGGGATGATCCCAGAGCCAGTGTGAGCATCCTCCTGTGATCCCAGGGGAAGCTCCTGGGCTCTGGCACTGGGATGATCCCAGAGCCCTTCCCAGGCAGGAGCCTGAGCAGGTCAGGCAGGGGGTAGGGAGGAGAGCCCAGAGCCACCCACAGGCACCTACAGCATCCATGGCCATGACCTCCTAAAAACCCCTCTGTCTGCTGACATATTTGTTTCCTACAAGAAAGGGCTGGCTGGAAAAGGCCACATTCCCTCAGGGAAGGGCAGGGGAGCCAGGCTCTGCAGACCCTGGGGTCCTTCCCTCCAGGGCTGCACTGGGGTCGCTTCCCACTTCCCACATGTTGTTACCTAAACAGCTGCAATTCAGAGGGGCAGGGAAAGCCTACAGAAATGTTTACATTTCCAGAAATTAAAATTTCAGTGACGAGGCACTAAATAAACTTAATCAAGTTGGGAGGCATCTACGAGAAACCATTTTGATATGACTTAATGAGAGAAGGCATCGGGAATGGTGATTTTAATCAGCCAAGTGGGATTTATAAGCAAGAAGATCCTGCTTAAACAACTCATTAGACTTCTCAAAAAAATCTGTACTGTCCCAGCAGACAGTCAGAACAGGGTTTATTGTACATATTTACTCATTCTCTAAATCCCCTGGTAACATTGCCCATCACAAGTCAACTGATTAAAGCAAAAACAGTCAAAGGAAAAAAAAAAAAGTCTTCAGAAGCACCTGCTGAAGGACACCAAGAGGCTCCAAGTCCTTCTCAGAAGGCAGAGCTGACTCAAACCAAATGCTATGTCTAAATCCTTATTTATTATAAATATAAGGGCTATAGAAGGGGGAGAAATACTTAATATCCACTGTTATTTTTTGTAACTTTTAAGACACTTGCATCCTGACCCACACCAGGCAGTGATACCAAAGGACTGGAACAGGAACAACATGGGAAATGGCAAAGCCACCAGGATCCTTCAGGCAACTGACCTTTCCCTGGGCTCTCCTGGTGTCCCTGCCCGAGGTGACGTGTCTCCCCATGGCCCCACATCAAGGCAGAAATGCAACCCCACTGCTAAAGACATTTGGAAGTCATGATTTATAGAACAGCTCGAGGCTGCAGCATTCC